CCCTTTCGGTAATACTTCCAAGCGCTACAGCGCTTTCTGTCATCCGTCATCTTTCTGCAGTAAAGATTTCTGCAAACATTACTTGCGTTTGCCTGGCGCAACAGCTGTTGGTGTGGCAGGTAATTCCGCACTGATCGTGCTCTCTTCAGCTCAGCCTCGCACACAAAAGTTCCTATGAATCGGCAAAAGTAACTTTTGCATGCCACCCCAACATGTGGAGCTTGTTGCAGGTCCAGAGGAATGATTATGAATCATGTAATTGACTGCCTGGAGACGGAATAGCAAGTTGGATGCACGCTGAATGGTTAATCTGCTGTTGCGTTGCACCTCCTCACAAGCAGCTTGTGAATCCGTAGGTCTGATGCAAGCGAGTGACGATATATTGTTGTTGGCAATCCAAAGATTCAACAACAGTCACCGCAATCCGAATAACATCGAATAACCACAGGCAATTGAGGACAAGGTAAACATAGCAATGTCATCGAATCTCTGCATCTCTGGGTACAAGACTTTTCCTGTGCTTTACGTTTGACTCACTATTCACTATCACATACTGTACTACTTGCGTAGGTGGGGAGAGAGAGAGAGAGAGAGAGCGCGAGAGCGAGAGCGAGAGAAGGGGGGGTGGGGGCGAGCGTCTTCGCCACAGTGACGAGACCACCAACAGTGCTGCCAAGGCATGGACTGAGTGTCTCTGCGCAGACACCTCAAGGGACACCGGTTTTATGGTGAGCCTGTGACTCCAGTCATCTTGATCTTACTTTGAGGACAAAGGGCCAGACGTTCCAGTTGGTGCTCCAGATTCAGGCTGGGAACTGTTTGGAGATGTGAGCTGCCTCAATTTCCTAAGACGAAGGCCTCCTCTGGCAATTGGGATCAAATTTTGCCAAGCATTGCCAAGCTATGGCCTATTGCAGTGCTGGACTCTAAAAAGATCTTCTTTAGCATCAAGGCTTTCTGTGCTGAGAACAGGGTTCAAGAAATGGGTCTATCTATCGATCAAATTCTCGATCTATCTATATATCTATGTGCGCATTTGTTGGAGCTGCTATGAGCTGTCTAACAGCCCCGATGCATCGAAGGACGTGGTCGGAACTTTTCCATAAGCCGAAGCAAGTAATCTTCGCTTAGATAAGTCTTGGCACTTAATTTGCTACTAGGAGCAAAGACGCTACTAGGGGCTCCTGGCCTTACTACCAGGAGCAAGGACACTACTAGGGGCTCCTGGCATTGCTACTAGTAGCATTCTTACTACTAGCAACAAGAAGAATGAATGGGACAAGTCATCTCCACCTGAGGCATCAAGGCAAGTCGGAGTAGCGTCTTTGCTCCTAGTAGTAAGGCCAGGAGCCCATAGTAGCGTCCTTGCTCCTAGTAGCAATGCCAGGAGCCCCTAGTAGCACTCCTAGTAGCGATGCCCTTGTTCCTAGTAGTAAGGCTGTCAAGATGCGGGGGG